GTATTCTTTCAATGCATTTATTTGTCATCTATGTATTATCTTTGGATATGTGTCTGTTCAGATGTTTTGAACATGTTTTAATTACATTGCTTGTGTTCTTAGTTTTTAATTTTAAAAGTTCTTTTTATATTTTGAACACAAGTCCTTTTTCAAATATGTTTTTTGCAAACATTTTCTCTCAGTCTATGTCTTTTCTTTTGGTTTTCCTTACAGTATCTTTCCCAAAGCAGAAGTTTTTTGCTTTTGATAAAGTATAATACATCAACACTTTCTTTCATAAATCATCCTTTTATTGTACATAAAATTCATCACAAAACCCAATATTCAATAACCAAACTGATTTTGATTTCCCCTATGTTATCTTGTAGAAGTTTTATACTTTTATGTTTTATATATAGGTCTATAATTTATGAAATGTATGAAATGTGTAAGGTCTTGCATATGGATGTCCAATTATTCAAGAGCCATTTGTTGAAAACTCTATTCTTTCTCCATTTAACTGCCTTTACTCCTTTGTCTAAGGTCAGTGGTTATATGTGTATGGGTCAATTTCTGGGCACTCTATTCTGTTCCACTGATCTATATGTTGTTCTTTTGCCAATACCATGTTCTTTTAATTATTGCAGATTTATAGAAAGTCTAGAAGTTGAGTATTGTATTCCTCTAACTTTCTCCTCCTCCTCTTTTTCTTACTCCTCCTCATTCTCCTTCTTCTTCCTCACTTTGGCTATTCTAAGTCTTTTGCCTTTCCATATAAACTTTAGAATCAATTTGTCAAGTCCTATGAAACAGTTTACTGGAATCTTGATTGGGATTCATTAAATCTATAGGTTAAGTTAAGAAGTCACATCTTAACATTATTAAGTCTTCTAATCCATGAACACAGAATATCTCTCTACTTACTTATATTTTCTTGGACAGAGTTTTCGAGTTTTTCACACATAAATACTATATGTATTTTGTCAGGTTTATTTTTAAGTATTTCATTTGGGAGGTACTATTAGAAAGTTACTGTTCGTTTATTTTCAAACAGCAGTTCTTCATTGCCCGTGTAGTAATTTGTATTCTGTGACCTTGCTATACTCACTTATTACTTCCAGGACTTTTTGTTTGTTCATTCTTCATCATTTTCCAGATAGACAATCATGTCATCAGCAAACAAAAGTTTAATTTCTTCCTTCTCACTTTGTATGCCTTTTGTTTCCTTTCCTTCTATTAGTACACTGGCTAAAACTTTCAGCACAATGGGAAATAAAGGTGGTAAGAGGATATCCTGGGTTTGTACTCAATCTCGGGGGGAAAACAGCCAGTTTCTCACCATTATGATATTTACATATGTTCTTTATTGAATTGCACATGTTCTTTGCTTATGTTCTTTATTTGTCCTCTATTCCTAGGAAATATATGTCTATATTCTTTCAAACTGCTTTACTTTTTCTAGTTCTGATAATTCCGGTACTTGCACTACCTCCTGATTTTTGTTCATGGTTAATCATTTCCTTTTTGTGCTTTGTAGTTTTGATTATGAGAATTTTGTTTTTCCATAGAATTCCTGTCCCGTGCTCATAAAGATGTACCCATATACAGGCGATAAATTTCATCATGCCAATCACTGATTCACTTAAATACACTCAAATTCCCTGAGAAGAATTTTAAGACAAGTAACTAGCTCACACTTTAATATTCTTTTAAAATTTCCTATCATTTCATGCACTTGAGGGACAAAGTCAGATCAGAAACAGACCTGGGTTCAGTTTCCTACTCAGCATTTTGGCTAGTTATACGATCTTGGCCAGGTTCTTTAATTTCAGAGATCTTACTACTTTTCTATTAAAAATTATAACATTTTTATATTTGCTTTATATTTGCTCAAAGGAGTTTAGAAAAGACTCAATATATTATCAAGTTTGTAAGCTCCTTGAATTATGTTGTGAACAGATCCTAAGTTACCTCCTTGATCCCTACCTCCTCATGTTCATGTCTTGCATAATCCCTGCTCCTTGAGTGTGGACAGATCATACGACTTGTGTCTAACAAACGTAACATGACATAGTTGGTAGGATGGTACTTATGTAAATATATCCTGCTATACGGCAAAGATGAGAAGATGTCACTCCTGTGGTTACATTGCATTATTTAAGACTGTCTTGTCTGCAGTCTCTCTTTCCACTGCTGGCTTTTACTAAACAAGCTGCCAGGAATCCTATGGCACAAGGAAATGATTCTGACAACCTGAGAGAGCTCCCTAGTGTATCATTCTCCAGGCAAGCCTCCAGGAGTCCCTGAGCAGACTGAGCTAATATTTGCCCAGACACCTGACCCACAAAGAAACTTTGAGGTAATAAATGTGTTTTAAACCTCTAAGTATGTAGCAATTTGTTAAACATCAGAAAGCTAATACAAGTGCAAAGCCTCAATTAAGTAGGTCATGCTTTTTAAAAACCTCAAAAAGGTAAGTATGAAGACATCGTCCTAGATTTTTTAAAAATCTGCCTTGAAAACAATCATCTCAGTTAAGTTAGGTAGGTAAAGAGATAGAGACTGAGTGATAGAGAGATGGGGCAGGGGAGAGAAAGGGAGAGAAGAATGCTCTGACACTGAAAAATAGTATTCTTTATTTCAGAAAGCTATCGACATTTTTTACTGCCCATATTTCTGTAAGAAAATGGATGCAAAGTACCAATAATCTTGTGAACTGAAGGGTTCAATACAGTTTTTATGTATTATTTACTATGCTTAGATTATACACATCCATAAATACTTATACTATATGATCAGTACACACAAACTGTACCCGTTTGATTTCTTCAGTTCAAACTTGATTTTTAACACTGTTTACATGCAACTCAGACATAAAAGTACTGTAAAATGGAAAGTGATAAATTAAAGATCATTTTAAAAAATAGAGTACCAACCTGTTTGACATGGGGGGTGGTGTTCCTTTAGCCACAGGACAGAGTAATTCTCAATATGTTTGATTCAAATTTGGTTTATCAATGCCATACTACAAAAATGCATTTTCATGACCAATTGTCAATTAATGAAATCCACCAATACCACATATTTAACAATTTCAGTTCAGCAAAAACAAAACGCTTCACTTTTCAATTCTTTTCCCAGTAAGTTATATCAAAGTGAGTCATAGTGCACCAGAAGATTAGAGAAATGAAATCTTCTAAAGTCCCGCCGAGGTCAGATAGTCTGAAAAGCTATGCTGTGAGAAATTTACCCACATTTCCACTAAACAATAGCTAGTTTTCTCATAACTTGTGAACACACAGAACATGACATACCCTTACTTCCTGTACTTTGGTTAAAAACTGCTTTTCTTTTTTTCCAGAACATCTCAAACTCTTAATTCTAGTTCTTCTTAGTTCTAGTTCTAGTTCTTTGCTCTGTTCTTTCCCTGAACCTTTTTGGGTTTGATATTTACTGTAAGGAGGAAGAATTACACTATATTTAACACTTAAAACCATGAGGAAAGCAAATAACCCATAATCTGCTTTCCCAGATGACTTGTGCAAGTTCTCAAAACACTGATCTGTTGTGCAAGTATTTAAAGCCATCTTTCCCTAAATAAACGGGATTCTTTCTTTCCCCCTGGATTTGGCAAAACGGGATTAACAAGATATGTTGCATTCATGGAAGCAGATCTTTAACATGATAATTCTAGTCTACTGATGGGAAAGAAGCAGTATCAGTCCAACCACAACTTGGATTTGCAAGCCTTTGTTGCAATACATAAATATATTGTTAACCATGAAGGTATTTATGTGCCTTTATTTGAAAACTTGCTTGTGGAGGCCAAGAGAGTGAGTCATTCTAAAAGTCTGTTTGTTCTCTTATTTACCAAAGACAACCTTTACCCATGCAGTATCTACAATTGTATGCTGTAAGTATTCCATGAAGGGCAGGGGCTGGGAGGAAGTCCTGCGGAGATGACTACACAGAACCAGCAAAAGAATAAACAGTATCTAGATAGACTGAGACTGGACCAGAGCCCAAAAGAACTGGCTTTCAATTTCAGTCCTGCCACTGCCCATGGGAACTTCTCTGAATTCCTCTTCCTTATCTGTATGGCTAACACCTGTCTAACAGAGTTGTTTCAGGGATCACATGGAAAGCGTCTTTAAGTTACTAGGTATTCAGTAAATTGTGGACAGCATTGTTATTTTTCCTGCAAAACAATGCACCCTGCTTTTCATATGAACGATTCCCTAGCTGAGCCCACTGGATAACTTAGAGTTCAAATAGTTAATAGAAAGTAGGGTCTTTTTTTTTTTTTTAAGATTTTATTTATTTATTTATTTATTTAACAGAGAGATCGATCACAAGTAGACAGAGACGCAGGCAGAGAGAGGGGGAAGCAGGCTTCCCACTGAGCAGAGAGCCCGATGCGGGGGTCATTCCCAGGACCCTGAGCCAAAGGCAGAGGCTTACCCCACTGAGCCACCCAGGCGCCCCTAGAAAGTAGGTTCCAATTAGAAATCTTTTTATATTTTATTTAATATTCATTTCTTACACTACAAGCTTCCTTACTTTCCCCTTTTTTTTCTTAAAATGACTCATTCTTTACTCAATTTATTTAAGTGTGGTTACACTCAAAGTCACTTATCAAATGTCTCTATTTCTCCCAAACACACACACACACACACACACACACACACACACACACAGCTTTAAATCAGTAAAGACTATTTATTACATTGTTGGCATTATCTACTCTAGAATATAGAGTAGTCATGATATGACCAGAATGTAGAGCAGTCATGAGCTGCTGTATCACCAGAACAGAGAAATCATGGACTTAAATGGGTACTGAATAAAAATGTGATTGAAAGGCTGGAAGTATTGTGATACCAACATAACCAACAGACAAAAGCATGCCGAGGCAATAAGTGTTTGGAATATATAATATAAGGTGAGGAATAGTGTGAAAAAATCTACAGGAGAAAAATCCATTTCCTGGTTCTAATTTTTCAAATTACAGACATTTGCTCAAAAAAAAAAAAAAAATACAAAGCTATATGCAGGATCTTGAGAATTCTAGACTCCCCATTAACGTTTAGGCAGAACAAAAATTAAATTGAGTAAGAATGACATTCTCACCCATTTTGTCTAGGCTGTCTATCTAAAAACCCTTATCATAATCTTGCTCAGCACCCATCTTAGACAACATGTTCCCATGGATCCCAAACCCTCATATTGAATCTTATACTTCCTGCTCTTTTTGTATCTTATACCTCCTGCTTTATTGTTGATGTGGATGTGAAAAAAAGCTAATGATCCTCTGGTTTATGATCCTTCACAGATGTAAACAGAAACATTCAAAATCACCTATTGTTAAGCCTCCCTGGAGGCTACTGATCTTAAACAAAGTTTTATGACCTACAATGAACGTATGGAAGGTAATCCAAATAATTATATTCCTTCACTCTTTTATTTACCCTTGACTCTGAAAAGTTCTCAATTTTCCACATAATCTAGAAAATAAATATTTACCGTTGCCTTCCCAGGCAACATTAGAATGAACAGAAATGTCCATTAATTTGTTATATTTTCCAATTTATTACTCAATTCCCTTACTTTCTGTTTATAACCTGAGCTTTTCTGGTTAAAAAAAAAAAAAAGATTTAAGAAGCAAAACTTATGGTACAAAAATTTAAATAAAGGTCACACTGTCATAGTATGGTGTTTCAGTTTTGCAATCCATCTGCAATTTCCCACCAGGCTGAGTGGAGATAGTCTAAACAAGTCTAAAGATATTTACGAAATAAGCTACTATGAAAGGTCAAGACAACCCATCAAAAGCGACTCTCTTCCTCTTCCACTGCACGGTGAAGGCCAGGGATGAATTTTAAGAGTTGTTTCCGGACACTTCCCCTTCTGTTTTTCCGGGGCAGGGTCCCAAACATGTTTGAGAAGTTGCCCTCCCACAAGGGTGACATGGACCCACTGCTGGCAGAACTAAAACTTCGGTCCCTCCTGGAAACAGACCTCTTCAGGAAATCATCCCCATCCTTGGGGACAAAGCACTCATCATCTGTGCTTGTCTGTCGACTGAAGCCTCCCTTGCTTGAGTCCTCAGACACACACGTCTGGTAGCCGTCCTCGCTGTCCACTGTCATGGAGCTCAGACAGCTGCTCTCACTGGATAGTCGATTCCGGTCCAGGAGGGCTGAGCCCGACCCCGGCAGCATTCCAAACAAAACCGATTCATCTATGTCCATGTTTTCGAAGCTTGGGCAGTTACCTGTGTCACCTAGAATGCAGAAAACAAAAGACTTCTGTGGAATGGATAGGAGCATCAACCTCTACCAGCAAATACACCAAAATTTCTCTGGAAAGGGTGCAAGAAAGAGTAAAGGTGAAAAATATTTTTCACTGAACTTCACCTGTATGAGTAAGTGACTCTTTATGAGGCCACTTGATAAACCTTAGAGTGGTGTTTCCCAAACCATTGTTCATGGACTAGCTTTCATGTAAAAGGGTTCCACAGTCACAGAAACAGTCATGCTGAATTAAAAAAATGTAAATAGATTCTTCACATAAGAACAGTCAACTCCTCTGATAGTATGCCAGTGTGACTTGTCAACCTCCAAAAGTATCATTTCTTAAACGGAAGTGACCCTGCAACCTTTCACTAAAGTCCTCACAGAAATGGCATTCTAAAGAATGTACTGGGAAAAATACAAAAAATATAATATACTTAAGGGAATGCCATCTTATAGACTTCCTCCATTAAGTTCCTCTGATTTTCAGTTACTGAAATTTTTAAATAATTATGTAATTATCATAACATCACTCGAAGTATGTGGGAAACACAGTTATAAAACCTGTACCTGTAGACTGATTTATAGAGAACTCAAAGGTGTTTACAACAGAGAGGATATCTTCCAGTCTCAATATTCCATGTTTCTTCCTAGAATACTTTAATACTGAAATGCTCTGGAATGGTACAGTACCCAGAAAACAGCCCTGTCTTCAAATAAGTAACAATTTATCTGTAGAAGTTGAGTTTTATCTGCTTAGCTGAATTTTTTTTTTTTTTTCCCAATCAACCTTTCATAACCTGTATCTGGGCTCTCCAAACTCAAATTTTAATCGCACCACCAACATCCTATCCCTACCCCCACTTGCTTGGGCACTATCTGGCTGGTTTGCTACTTAAAGGAAGGGGATTATTTGTTATACCCCCCTGAGAACAACATAGTTAGAAGGTGACTCTACTTCAGGAAAAGTAACAGAACATTGCACACTCAGAAATGGTTATACTTTGTGCTGATTATTTCTCTATTGTTGTTCTCCTTTGTCCTTAATTAGCAATACAAAAAGAGACTGATTTTCCACTTAATCTGCAAGGTTGAATACAGCCAGCTCTGCACTGACTAGCCAGAATGCTTTCCTTCTTTACTAATAAAACCTACCTTATTTCAATGGGTAACGAGTTGATGAATTGCTTTTGATCAGAAAGCAATTAAGAATCTCAAGCCCTATATATTTATTCTAGAAAAAGTAAACTACAAAACTCCTTCAATTTCTCAAAAAAAAAAAAATGTGTACAACAATGGCTTTAATGAGGAGTCATTCCCCTTCATCTTGAACTAAAGACCTTCTCTATACAAGCTATTCCTATAGAACCCCAGGACTGCCTATACATTTTAGGCCAAACCCCATCTCCACTCCAGAAAGTTCCAGAAGTGGGGGCAAAGTTTTCCCAAACACCCTCAAGTCTACAAAAATCCAGGAGTGGCTGGATTTTATACCTCTATCCTGCTAGGAAGTTTCAGATCCCCCCAAAAATCTACTAAGAATTTTTTAGCATATTAATTTAAAAACATACCAAAGAGAAGTAACTTACATAGAAGTTTCATTTAAAAAACAAAATTTCTACACAAACCTCTAAGCCATTCATTAGTGCCTAATTATGAATTAAATGTATCTTTTTTTCCTGTAAATAAATTATTACTTGAAACAAACATTCTAGGTTATAAATAAAGACTTTAGCTCAGTGGTATCTTGAGAAGGTAGAACCTACATTTCACACTCACATAGCTAGTGGTTTCAGTGAATTATTTGTACAAAAAAGTTCATTCCTCAGGTAACACCAGTCACATAGCAAATGTCAGACCAACAAATTTTTATTTTATTTTTTTAAGCAGGCTCCATTCCCAGTATGGAGCCTGATGCAGGGCTCCAGCTCACGACCCTGAGATCAAGACCAGAGCCGAGATCAGGAGTCCAACACTCAACCGACTGACTGACCCAGGTGCTCCCAAATCAACAACATTTGAATTCAACCTTTCCCTTTAGAATTCACACAGTGGCAAGAGCCTTGCCTTTACTGTTAGAATGATCATTGGTATTTCTGACGGGTTTACAGGCCAAGAAAAGCATTTCTCTGCATTCACATAACTTGTATAATATGAACAAATGATAGGAGCTCTACCCAAGACGCATGCTACCATTCCAGCCTCAATAATTTCTGAGAACTACACAACCTCGGAGCCACAAACATTCTCAGAAATTTAATTCATCTACAGCAGTAGTAGGAAAACCAGGCTATCATTCCTACCGCTCTTCTACTCTAGGTACCTCTTGCACGTATGTGCATATATACAAGTGTGCGCAAGTTTTTGTGTGCATATGTGTTATGTGTATGGAGGAGGGGATGTGACTTGACCTACTCACCCTCCCAAAACATAGGTCACTCCAAAGGTCAGGCCAAAAAATACAGTCTAGTATTCTTGATCCATGCTAGACAATTTTTTACTATAATCATGATAATCTTGCAATAACTTAGAGGCAGAAATACCAAAAAGATGAATGTTAGTGTGGTTTCTGAACAGGAAATTACATTTACCATGAAGCAGACGCTGTTCCTGTAACTGCAGAGATCTGAACTCCACCCATTTTTTCTTCAAGGTTTGCTGATAAAAAAGAAAAAAAAAGTGTTAATAACTGGGAATCCCCATTGAAGATAACAATTTACTTCTAGATGATGAGATTTATCATAATTTTTTTCCTTTCTTTCTAACTAGTGTTAGAACTTCTCCCATTCATTGGAAGATTATTTTCTACATAAAAGGGAGATACGGGGAATACTACTTTCTCAGGAAATAATCTAGTAGTATCAAGTTAAAACAATAACATTGTTTCAATAGAAACAACAGACAAGAGAAACCATGACATTTATTTATTTGTATATTTTTAAAAATATTACAGAACCAGATTGTTTGGATTTGTGTCCATTTACCAGCTGTCGAGGCAAGGATCTACTCTCCAGGCTTCCCTCCCTCCCCCATGTATAAGATGAAGGCAGTAACAGAATCGAAACCCTGGGACTGTACTGAGAATTCGGAGAGTTAGTAGATGTAAAATGTTCAGAACAGTCACTAGAGCTTAGTAAATTGTTCAGCAAATATCATCATACTGTAAGCCTGGGGCATTAAAGCTCTGTTTATTGCTACACACCTATCTATTTTTCACAGCAAAAAGGGGAAGCCAGCCTGTCTGAAAAGCTTCCTTAGTAGGCTAAAGTTAGAACACTGATAAGCATTGTGACTTCTTAACTGCTTCCTTCCTCCGCTGCCCAGCCCATGCAAGCAGTGGCCCAGGATGGTAATGAAGGGGCTGCTGTCACGGTCCAGACTGCTCACAAGGCCTGGCCCAGCCCATCAAAGGGGCTGAGGTGATGAGAGACAAAGCAACCAGGCAGAGGCCATCTGTCAAGGACACCTAGAGGCTCATTCTCCCTCCCACCTTTTGGCCTTTGCCCGGCCCCTTTCCCTGCCAACTGAGATCCCCACAGCAAGCCCAGCAGGCAGGCCCAGCTCAGCTTTGCCTTTGCCTATGGACACTTCATCACACGGAAAGATAGCCCATTGGAAACAAGCACTCCTTTGTAAGAAGCAGTCTGGGAAAGGTAGATGCAGGCTAAAAAGGAAAAGTGGGAAAAAGTACATTTGGAAAGGGAAGACCGAAGGAAAAGAAAATCATACAATTTTAAGAATGTCATCAAATGCTTAAGGGAAGAATGGCTGGTTCCTCAGTTCAAGGGGGCTGAACAATCACAGGACGGGATTCTCCAAGCCTTGATCACGGTAGCGTTTAGCGTCAATCTTTACGGTTACCTATATAATTTGCAAGCAGTAAATCAAAGCCATAAAATGCCTGACTTAGTTAATTGCTTGTTCTTTCTTCACTATAGGATAGTCAGTATGGCTATGAGACTGTTGGGCTCTCTGAGTCACAGCTCCTTTTATCTGTGCCAACTGTGGTCCTATGAAGGTCAGAGTTAAGGACCACAGAGAACAAACAGAACCAGCAAGGATCTAACCCCTTCCTTCTCTCTTAAAGGGGTCTTTCTCCTGCAATAGAATAGAGTTCAGGAGAGGAGCATAAGATAGGTTGACAGTCAAAACTAAATATGGAGAGAGAAGGAAATTGTATTTTTGCACTAGCTATTCAGAAATACAAAGTCAGGCTTTGCCAGATAGCTATTTTTTGTGAAAATAAAGGTTTTTAAATATCTAATCTGTTGACTTGGCCCAGTCATCTAAGTACGTCATCACTTAAACCAAGAAAACACCAGTGTAAAGAGCAGATGTGCCAAAGTGACTAAGAGTTTTAGTCTCTCTCTCAGCTTCTCCATTTCCCTTACAATCTGTTTCTGCTTGTTATTAACATTACATTTGTTATTTGGACAAATGAGACCTCTCACCATTAGAAGAAAATTAAAGCATGTGGGAAATCTAACCATACCGGGCCCTATCACCTCATTGTACCTAGCTCAGAGCTCAGAGCCTGGTATATAGCAACTGCTCAGTAAATATTGGTTGAATGAATATATCAAAGAATGGCCTCCTGAAATAAAACTCAACTATCACAGATGGATATTTTGAGTTGGATATATTTCCAATGTTTTCAATATACATGAGACATATAGCTACACATTTCCATCTTTATTACTTTTACACTGTTTTCGTGGATAACATGCTGTTTAATTTTCCTATCAGTCCTACAAAGTCCCAGATTAGAAAATAAAGGTGCGATGTAGGGCTATAAACCCAGTGAAAAGGAGAGCTAGATTAAAAAACAGCTCCTCTAGCTAGCACAGTGGATGTGCTGTTTTCATCTTAAACAACTGAATCATAGGTTATAAGAAAGGGAATCCCTGTAAACATAGCTCGGAATGGACCCCCATTTCTAAAGAAGAGCTTGTGGCCTCTGGAGTCTTTAAAAGATGAATGCATACTTATACAGGACACACAAACTAAATGTCATCGTGTGAAGGGGAAGGCAACTTGACCCTGGTTGCAGGTCAGATCCAGACATTTCTGGTTCAGGAGGTAAACTGGAAATCACATAATTTCAAGAATAGAAAAGGAAAAGAAATGCAAGAAGATAAGCAAGGATGAACCCAAAGATCTGCCAGAACTGGAGAAGCAGAAACAGGTAGCTAGGAATTTGGATCCTCAAGCAATCTATAGTTTAAATGCACTTATTTATCAGGGCACAGGACAGAGACAAGTTTCCTGTTTGAACCTTGGCTAAGCTCTACTACCATGAAGACGAGGTGAGAAAAGCTGCTGATGGTGGCCATGGCTCATGTAGAGCTCGTGTCTGGAGAGGCAGGAGTACATAAATGCAGCCTATGACTTGAGCCAAACAGCACACGAATCCTCTAGAAAGGCAGGCTAGCTGCCAGACCTGGCTCTGGGTTGGGAGCCTTGAAAATGCAGGGTGGAGGCAACCCAAGTACAATATGGAGTAGAAGGCAAAGACCACCATGCATGGGAAATAAGCAATATGAATTCCAAATGGTATGAAAGACAACAAAATTGACAGTCAGTACATAGATTATCTCAAAAAAAGAAAGAAAGAAAGAAGAAAGAAAACAGAACAGTGTCCAAAGAAGATTTAAAAACAAAAATATTTATAATCCTTTGAAGAAGAAATGAGATTAATGTCAATCAGAACAAGAAACCTGAAACAAAGAAATAAAGCAAGAACAGATAGACATGAAAAAGAATGATCTGAAGATAAAAAATGAATTAACTCTTAAAATTCATGGGAACAACTCATTCTATACAGAATAAAGACATTACTGAAGAACTCAACAAGAACATAAGAAAAAAGATAAAGTCATACAAAATATGAAAAAATGGTTAGGAAACAAAGAAAATAAATCAAAAGACTCTAAAAATATCCCTAACAAGAATTCCAGAAGATAATTCAAGGAATGGTGAGGAATGTATATTCAAAGAGATCAAGCTGGTAGCTTTCCAAAACTGAAGAAATTCACAAGTCCTTGGATTGAAAAGGTACAGCAATTTCTAAGCAGTATAAATTTAGAAGTGAATCTACACCTAATCACATTTCAGTGTATTTTTTAGATCAGTAAGACAAAAGAACATCTTAAAAGTAACCAGAAACAGACAAAAGAATGCCACAAATTGAAATACCAGTTTTTGCCAAAAGACTCAAAAATAGAAAATCCTCTAGTTGGACTTAACCGGGGGGGGGGGGGGGGGGAGAGAGAAAGAGAGAGCTAGAAGGCATAAAAAACCACGAGAATAGAATTTTTTATCAACACATAAAATAAATTTGAAAATTTTAAAAATTTAACAAAAATATTAATTCAATAAAACTGGCCCAAATAAAACAAAACAAACAAAGCAGAAAGCCTGAGATAGCTTATAATTAATAAAGAAACTGAAACAGTTTAGAAGAATTCCCACCAAAAAAGAACCCTAACCCCAGATGATTCAGATAGTTACAAGAATTCTACCAGAAAAGAAAAAGGGGAAGATTCTCCCCAGCTCATGTTAAGAGTCCAGTAAACATGATACATCCAAAACTAAAGAAAGATAGTTTGAGAAAAGAAAATTGCAGGCCATTCTACCTATAAAATAAAGTTACCTTCAAAAATCCAAAAGAAAATATTAGCAAATCAAATCTATAATTATATAAAAACAGTATAAATTATGATCAGTTTGAATTATTCTAGAAATGCAAAGGTGGTTTTACATTAGAAAATCTTTAAATGTCATTCACCATATCGACAGATATTTTTAAAATAAATAAGCAAGAATAACACATGCACAAAAAAGTGTCCGATAAAATTCAATACACAAACACTATAAAAACTACCAGGAAATTTAGTATGGAAGAGAGCATCTCAAATCTGAAAAGTATATTCATAGAGAGAGCTCATTCCTGATGGGAAAAAGTGGAAATTCCCTTTAAAATCAAAACAAAACAAGGACACCTATAATTATAGTTTCTATTCATCACTGTTTTGTAAGCCCTACCCAGTGGAGTGAAGAAAGAGAATTTTATGTCATCCTTAACAGTTATTATCTTCACAGAAAACTCCAAATAATCTACAGATAATTTGTTAGAAATTATATAGTTTAGAAATAGTTTGAATCCTATAATTTGAATAATAGCATAAAATTGGTTTTACAAATCTATACATCAACCTCAATCAAAACATTCATTGTTTTTATGAAGAAACTGTAGTATGAACAAAAATCATGAGTAGAAAGGAATACATCTAGTGAGAAATGTATAGGATCTATTTGCATAAAAGTATAACACTTTATTGAAAGACATAAAAAATTAAAAATGGTTAAAATTATGAAAACTTTTCCTCTAAGATCAGGAAGAAGACAAGGATGTCCACTTTCACCACTTTTATTCAGCATAGTACTAGAAGTTCTAGCCACAGCAGTCAGCCAAGAAAAAGAAATAAAAGGAATCCAAATTGATTAAGGAGAAAGTAAAACTGTCAATTTTTGCAGATGATGTGATACTATATATAGAAAACCATAAAGAATACAACCAAAAAACTAATAAATAAACAGTAAATTTGCAGGATACAAAATTAAAGTACAGAAATCTATTGCATTTCTATACACTAATAATGAAGTAGCAGAAAAAGAAATTAAGAAGACAATCACATTTATAAGTGCACCAAAAAATATAAAATATCTCGGAAAAACTTTAACCAAGGAGGTGAAAAGATCTGTATTCTGAGAAATATAAGACACTGATGAAAGAAACTGAAGATAACACAAACAAATGGAAAGATATACCATGCGCATGGTCTGGAAGGATTAATATTATTAAAATGTCCATACTACCCAAAGAAATTTACAGAGTCAATGTAGTCCTTGTCAAAATCCAAGTGGTATTTTTTTACAGAACTAGAGCAAATAATCCTAAAATTTGTATGAAACCATAGAAGACCCCAAATGGACAAAACAGTCTTGAGAAAGAACAATGAAACTGGAGGTGTCACAATCTCAGATTTTAAGATATACTACAAAGCCAAAGTAATCAAAACAGCTTGGTACTGGCACAAAAACTGATACATAGAACAATGAATAGGGATAGAAGGCCCAGAAACAAACCCACTTTAATGGATAATCAATCTATGACAAAGGAGTTAATAATATATAATGAAGGAAAAACAGTCTTTTCATTAATTGGGAATAATGGGCAGCTACATGCAAAAGTATGAAACTGGACTGCTTTCTTACACCATACACAAAAATAAATTCAAAATAGATTAAAGACCTAAATGTGAGACATGAAACCATACAACTCCTAAAGGAAAACATAGGCAGCAATCTCTTGGACATTGGTCTTAAAAACTATTTTTGGATATGTCTCCTCAGGCAAAGGAAACAAAAGTAAAAATAAACTATAGGACGACAACAAAATTTAAAAGTTTTGCACATCACTGAAGCAAAAAGGAACCTATGGAATGGGAGAAGATATGTGCAAGTAATATATTCAATAAAGGATTAATATCCAAACTATATACCACTCAACATCAGAACCCCCACATAATCTCATTTAAAATGGGCAAAGAACCTAAATAGGCATTTTTCCAAAGAAGGCATACAAACGGCTAATAGATACATGAAAAGACATTCAACATCACTAATCATCAGGGAAATGTAAATCACAACCACAATAAGATATCACCTAATACCTGTCAGAATAGCTAGCATCAAAAACAAGAAATATCAAGTGTTGGCAAGAATGTGGAGGAAAAAATACTCATGCACTATTGGTGGGAATGCAAACTAATGCAGCCACTGTGGAAAACAGTATGGAGTTTCCTCAAAAAATTAAAAAATAGAAATACCATATGATCTAATAATTTCACTATTGAGTTTTTATCCAAAGAAAACAGAAACACTAATTTAAAAGGATATATGCACTCCTAAGTTTATTGTAGCACTTAAAAATATAACCAAGGTATATAAGCAACCTAAATGTCCATCAGTAGAGGAAGGGATAAAGATGTGGTATACATACACAATGGAATATTCCTCAACCATAAATAGGAATAAAATCTTGCCATTTGTGACAATAGGAATGGGCCTCCAGGGTATTATGCTAAGTGAAATAAGTCAGAGAAAGACAAATGCCATATGATTTCACTTTCATGTGGAATGCAAAAACAAAACAAAACAAAAAAACAACCCCCAGTCAAACAAACAAAAAAAGCAGAAACAGATTCATGAATAGAGAGAACGGGTGGTTGCTGGAAGGGGAAGGGAGTGGGGGCATGGGCAAAAAAAAAAAAAAAAAATAGATGGTGAGATCATCTATCACTAAGAAAACACAATACTATAGAGATGTTAAGTCTTCAAATTGAGCTAGCTATACAAAATGTAGTATCAATCAAAATTCCAAAATTTATTTATAGAACTTGATAATCTGATTCTAAAATTTATATAGATGATCAAAAGAATTAAGAATAACCTGGAGGGTTTGCTCAACCAATATACCAATATTTATTAGAAAGGTATAATAACTGAGTTTAAGAGAAACAATGGATCAGAATAAGGAGCCTATAACAAAATCCATGCATATTTGAAACTTGCTTAAAAACAAAAACTTCGCTGCAGGTCATTTTGGAGGAAAAGAAGGACTAAAAAAAATGGTACTAGGAGAACTGAGTATTGATATGGAAATTAAAGAAAATTAGAATCCTCTCATACCACACATACAAATCAATTCTGGACAAATCCAGGACTTAGGTGTAAAAAGGAAAAACCCTAAAACTTTTGGAAGAAAATATAGAAAATGCAGATTACCTACAAAGGATAAACAATAAAATCTCTTCCATAAGCAAAAATATCAAAGGCACAATACATTTAAAAGGCTAAGGAGGCAAAACATCAACTGAGAATAATTCAATCACCTAATAAAACTCTCCTTCAACATCAGCAGTGAAAGATTTGTTTGGACAAAGAAAGCCCTGCTTACCCTTGCAAGAAGTACTACAGCAAAAAGGAAAGTAAACCCAGAGAGAAGGAACAGAAAACAGCAAGCACGTCAATTCAATTCATTAGCATATGTGTTCACTACAAGCTACTCAGAACAAAAATACGTAGTTTTCCATTCTAAAAATTGATAAAATTCTCCAAAGTAAAGCAATAATAGGAAAGATGGGGCCTTAAGATGAACATTTAAATATGTTAATGTCCTCATGATGTTCTGGGCAAGGACGGGTATGTTGAAAAATGTATACTTCATTTGAAAAAATTGGTAGCTACGAATTTTAAAATTTCCAGAGAAAACACTGAAGGAGCAGAAATTGCTTAGAAACATGAAATGTGTTTTTTGTAGGATGCTTTATTCCACAAAATGTAGACTTATTGCTCAGTTATGTTTTAAATAACACCACCAGTTTATTTTGTACATTTCTTTCCTTTTTCCATGAGAAGGTGAAAAAGCCAGGTTTACTTAAAAAAAAAAAAAAAAGATCCTTACTAATATTGTCTTTTTTTGTAAAAATAAATTCAGTTTTGACAGTTTTAAAACATACCTGTAATACGAAGCCCTGTTTATTCCATACAAAAATTAAATGATAAAATGTTAGAGGCATTCCCTTTAAAGTCAAGAATAAGATTATCACTATTTGCAGGAATCCTGATCAATGTTGTAAGAGAAGAAAAATAAATTATATAGTTGACCCTTCAATAATACAGGGGTTTGGGGTGCTGACCCCTGCCCCATCAAAAATCCATCTATAACTTTGGCTCCCTAAAAACTTCATTAATATAGCCTAGGGTTGACTGGAAGCCTTACTGATAACATAAACAGTTGATTAACACAGATTTTTTTTTTAGATTTTTTTATGTTATATTATATACTGTATTCCTACAAGAAAGTAAGCTAAAGAAAAGAAAATATTTTTAAACAAATCACAAGGAAGAGAAAATACATTTGCAATGTCAGACCTCATTTATAAAAGAGCAAAAACTGCATATAAGTGGACCCAAGCGTTCAAACCTGTGCTGTTCAAGAATCAACTGTAGTTGAATAACCAGGGCTAAAGGGGCAAAACTTTCAGTATCTGCAGATATTATGCCTCTATGAAAAAAATCTAAGGGAATCTACAAACACTGGAATAAAGAGAGTTCAGCAAGACTACCGGATTTAAAAATTTACACAAAAATTAATAGCGACAAATTAAGAGATCTTTGAAAATTAAAAAATCATGTTTATTGTAGCAAGAAAACTTAGAAGGCACCTCAGAATAAACATAATAAAAGCTACATAAAAGTGTATAAAGAAAAGATAAAATGTTTTTGAAGTGCATAAAAGACCTGAATTAAGAGGTCAGGATCCTGTGTTTGAAGTAGGAAAGGTGAAAACCATAAAAGCGTCAACTGATATTTATTCTATAAATGTCAATTCCTATCATACTCTGAACAGAGGAACCTTTCAAGGAATTTTACAAATTAATTCAAAATATCCCAAGGACAAGTAAAATGACAAGAGTATAAAATCAGTGTTGACGCAGAAGGAAACAGGGCTCATCGATGAACTAGGTATGAGGGGAGGAAGAATACAAGATAAAAGATGAACATAGTAACTCTACCCTCATGGGCTCAATAATTAAGAAGTACGTACTTCATATAGAAAATTCATAAATGCCAACTATTGCAAAACGCAGTCCAACTGAGCAGCCTGTCTGTAAGCCCTGGGGTCTCTGCTCAGCCTGGCCACCTCAGTGCCACGCAGCAGCCATCTCTGGGAGAAAGAGGTCATGGAGTCTGCAGGATCGTGATTCAAAGGCACAGGAATGAGGGTCTGCACTCCACAGCCTGGCAGAGCCTCACCAGTCTAGCAAACCGAGATTTTCAAGACCCTCAAAGGGCCTTCCCAGGGAATTTTCTCTGAACTCTCTGCATTGTGTAGTCCCTCCAGGAAACTTCATTTTTTTCCACTTCAAAGCTGTTTGCGTGTTTGCCCATGAAGGTCGGTTCAACGACAGACACGGGGGAAGAGGGAGATGATTTTTGTAGGAAGAATGAAGCAGGGCAGAAGGACCTAGAAGAGGACAATGGAAAAGCAAAGCTTCCGGGCCCTCCTGCACACATGCAGCACTTGGAAAAAGCAAGGAAAAACCAGCAACTCCTCCTTTGTTCCCCCGCCCCCCAAAATGTAAATCAAGAGAGATCACAGGTGCGTTAGTGAAAAGTTCTTCAAGTGATGTGCCTTCCTGTTGCCTTCCTGAGCCTCCTAGAAACACAGAAGGAGGAAGGAAGAAAGTGATTTGCCCTGGTTTGTGGAATTGAATAGTCCCGTAATGGTCATTGTGTGGCTCTTGATAATTTAGCAGTTTAGACTCATCACGACATTTCATCTTCAAGGGCTGTTTCAAGCCCTCAAATACATTTTTATTCTACCACTCACACATTCAAGGGTGGAAAATGTGTCTCGCTGTGTTAAATTAAATTACCTTTAAAACTTGCAGCTTTCCTTCAAGCTCTGCTCTTTTGAGAATCATTGTTCCATTAAGAGTCTCTATCCTGTTTTAAGAAAAAAAAAAGGGGGGGGGGGGGGACAGGAGCAGCATGAGTGATCCTTTCAAAAATGTAGCATCCTTATGAAGTACTATACTTGGAGAGTAGACTATACTTTAAAAAGCAACATAAATGTTATAATCCCCACGGCACTTCAAGTATCTGGACCTAGGCTGAATCTTCTGACAATAAGTAGGGAAAGGAAATAACAAAACAAAACAAAACACAACAAAAATCCCCTGGAGAGGGTGGTTGAAAGAAAAGATGTTGGCTAACTTGTAAACTATAGCTTGTTTTATAGATGCCACTACATGGCAATGACTACTGGTCTCTACTGGAATTTATCCTTATGGGCTCTGGCTCAATCACCTATTTTATTCAGTGAATGCTTCCCGGGCATCTACCATGTGCCAGACTTTAGACCCTGTGCTAAGCATGAGGGATCCAGCAATGAAAACAACATATAATAGGGATCTGCAAACAGTATAATCATCATGCCATTTCTTGGAAAAGGGATAAAGTTCCTTCTTCCCTAGGATTCTAAGAAACTGTACCTCTGTAAATTGTCTTAATTTGTCAACTAGAACAAACAGAGCCAGAACCACTATGAGATAATAACCTTCGTATCATTCTCACATCTCAGAACCTTTTTAGTTTATAAACTTCAATCTCAGAATTATCAGTTTAAAGGTGTTCGTTTCTCCCTACACCAAATGTCTTTCTAAAAATAAAAAGACTTGTTCTATCCTGACTGATTTGATTTATTTTGTGGGCTCATGCTGACACCTTTATTTTGACTATTAAGTCAGCAATCTGAATAAGATAACAAATTCCATGTGTGAGTCACACACCTAGGCATTTTTAAAATAATGGTTCAAATTCCTTCTGATAAGTAAGCTGTAAATATTATATTAATATTTATATTAATATATTAATATAAACTATATTAAGATATATTATATTATTTTAAGATGCAGAAATTTTCAAGTCATGGTAAAAGAGTAGACCTGTTTTTCTCTGTTTCTAATAACACCATTCCCAAGATAGTGAGATGATAATGCAAGCCAGGATTTTGTCCGCTTTCTCATGAGGGTGGTCTTGTCTCTGGGCACTAGAGAGGATCCTGTGAATCTGTTTCAATAGGACTCCTACTGCCCATCTGACCCACCCAAGCAACAGATGTCTATGCGCAGAGCCACAGGCACACCTTGGTTGTTTTCTTCAGTATTTAGACAGATGTCTCTCACTTTCCTGGTCTCTAGATCTCCATTCGTCTCCATCCATTACTCAGTAATTATATCCCTGCATTCTGCCCACTTCACCCATTTGGAACGTAGCTTTCTGACTCTAACTGCCACGTTTTCCCTTTGGATTCTGCACGGCTCCAACCTCACAGAATCGTTTCTCTGGAGGAGAGAGCACACCCATCCTCCACCCTGAGCTCACAAGATCCAGAGTTGGACTAAGTCCTCTACCATCAGGAGTCATCTTCCAAAACTACTCCCACGCACACCCAGAGCATCTCTGAAGTTTTAGACGAGGATCACTGAAGAGCATCCCGCAGATTTTCTATGGGCAGCTTGCAAGGAGCAACTGTGGGGCAGCTGAAGAGAATGGATCCTGGCATCCAGAGCAGGTGGTCACATCCTAGCCCAGTCACTTACTAGATCACTGATCTCCACTCTACCTAATTTAAGCTTCAGTCACTTTCTCTATAAATAGAAATAAAATTAACCTCACAAGGTGGCTGAGAAGAATGAAGGAGGTGATGCAAGACCCACCTTAGGCAGAATAAATCCTAAACTACTTGGCCCATGTTCTCCTCTCTGCCTTCGTCTCTTAGACTCTCCCTAATCTACCAACCACCCATCACACTGGTTGTCTCTCTCTATTAGACATGCCAAGCCCGTTTTGAGAGTTCAGAGACCTCCCTCTTGGCCTGAAATGCTTTCAGCAGGAGTTCACATGACCACCCTTTCTCTTTCCTTAGGTCTCAGTTCAGATTTCCTCTCCTCAGATAAGATCCCTTTCAACACCTAAACTACACAGCAGTCCTCTTACTCAGTATTCTATCCCATTCCTTACTTTACTTTCTTAACAGCAGTTATCATCATTGAAATATCAAGATTACTTCTTCTGGAGGCTTTCCTTGTCCATCTCCTCCCACAATCAATAAAGCAGTACAAGAGTTTTTGCCCATGTCTTTCCTAAGCCTATCGCAAAGCTGGGAACATAGTATTTGTTCAATAAATATCACTTAAATGACTGAGCAAATTCCATCTTTCTACTAATTACTGAAGTCTTACTAGATTCTAAGGATGGTACGGTGGAAAAGTCAGTCAAATCTCTAGTTGAGGAGGCCACTCTCCTATTAGTAAGTCTGGAATATTAGTAGGTGTGAATGTGTGTATTGCAGGGCAGAAAGGATTGAGCAGACTTTTTCCTTCCTTCCAAATGGGACACTAGAAAAGAAAAACAATGGGCTTGTGGTATCAGAATAAAAACTTCAGCCCTTCTGACCTTTCATTTGTTCTAACCACAAGATCGTATCAACCATGGAAACTGGACCAGTTCCTCTCTGACCAAAGAGAATGTGTGCCAGTTTCATTGAATCTGACATAAAAAAATAAATTTTCTAAATGCTATCCCTCCCACACAGACGTTTGAGCTATTGATGTCCTCTGACTTCAGATGTTGACAGTATGTTCAAATTTGAGGAAACCTTGAGAAACAAAAGGAACTGATAAAGAATGTCTGTACCCAGTCCCAAAGCTATGGTGCATGGCCTCCCTTCTTGTGATCCTGAACAAAAGCCTATTCATTCACTCAACAGGCATTATGAGAGACCGTAACATTTTTGAAGCCCCCACAGGAAGCAGATGTATAGTTACGTTAGCAGGTTTCCCGAAGATCTGATCAGGTCAACAACTTGTTTGTGGGTAAAGCCTTCTGTGTTCACACCATTGATATTTGCAAGGACATCACCTGGGAGATGCCAAGAAAAGTGAGTTGTTAGAACAGTTGCTTAAATAACCCCTCCTGACACCCAAATAAAACAAAAGAAGCAAGCCCCAAACCCTAGCAACATAAAGGAGTGAAGAAAATTCGCAGCAGCAATCATATCCCAACCTTTGACATCATAAAATTTTTCTTGCCATTTAAATAATTCCTAACACGAGCAAAATTACAAATTACCAGTCTGCAGGCCTGCATAGTGTGCCGGGCTGTCCTCCTGGATTTTGCAAATCAGAGTGCACATCTCTGAGGAGCACGAGTTCTGGTTCTGGAGCCTGTAAGTCTGTAAAAATTAAAGTGATACATAATTACTATTCAAAACTCAAAATCTATGTGTCAAAAAATAAAATGGTATTAATTACCTTAAGCAGTATAGTAGGTAAATACCAAGAACAATTTGGAAAGTCTTTCTTGAATATGAACTGAATCAAAAATACCAAACTTGAAATTCTATAGTGCAATCTGTAGCCAGGCCCATCCATTAAAAAAGGGGGGGGGGGATGGGCACCTGGGTGCCTCAGTCAGTTAAACATCTGCATTCGACTTTGGTCCTGATCCCAGAATCCCAGGATCCAGCCCCATGGGGCTCCCTACTCCGTGGGGAGTGTGCTTCTGCCTCTCCTTCTGCCTGACACTCCCCCACGCCACTCATGATCACTCTGATTCAAGATTATGTATGTTCAAGCCTAAAAGACCACCCGATGCTCTCATTATTATATATCTATAAACAAAAATCAGGTTTTGGGGAACCTGGGTGGCTCAGTCATTAAGCGTCTGCCTTCGGCTCAAGGGCTCAGGTCATGATCCCAGAGTTCTAGGATCGACCCCCGCAAGGAACCTGTTACTCCCTCTGCCTGCCTCTCCCCCTGCTTGTGCTCACGCTCTCTGTCTGTCAAATAAATAAATAAAAATCTTAAAAAAAGAAAAATCAGGTTTTTTATTTCCCAATGGGATAAAACAATAGTAGCCAAAAGCAAAGAGAAAAATCTCTGTGTATTTCTCCCAAGCTAAAGCACTCATTACAGCAGCATATGGAACACTACACATCCAGGAAGGGAGATATGCCAACAATAATTATTTTAAATCAGAGCTCTGCAAATAATGACAATCTGCCCTGCATTTTTTCAAAAGTACTATAATTGACGCGATTACCTTCTTGTCTAAGTGCTTTCTACTACGCCTGCCCTGAATACTCACCGATTCATTAGCGCCCCCAACCAGATTAGAAAAATTTAGGCTTCATCTCTTGCCTCAGTTTGGCAAAAGCAGTTTGTTTTTGTGTCTAAGTGTACCAAGAACACTGCATAAATATTGCTAGATAGAGTGGCCCAATGACCTATAACAAACATATTTGCCTTTTTCACACATTTAAGTTATAAAGCCTCGTTCCACTGAGAATCAAAATCAGCACCTGAGTGAAGTAATGTGATTCCTAAAATTAAACCACATTACAGCACCGCTTCCTTGTGGAGAAGTTAATGACTGATGTTCGTTCCTTCTTGTTATACATACAGGCTCCAGAACCAGAAGTCAATCATATGCAAGCAACTCCTAGAAACTTGATTTTGTTAACATCTAAGGAATTTCTATTCTCTCTGCAAGGCATGTTGAATCCCCATATCGTAAAGGTAGACAGGACCTTTTAAAGATCAGTTAATATACTTCCCATCTATGGCAGAGACCTCTTAAACAGCTTTTCTGCCAGGAAGTGTTCTTGCTAGAGCCTGGACACTTCCAGGAATGGAAAGGTGATCCAGTTCATGGGGTACATGGGCCAAAGCTCTAACAGTCACTCCTTTGGGAAACCACTGTTATAGCAATTCTTGTTAGCAGTGAGCATCTACCCTCCAGGTCCAGTGACCAAAGTGAGTACAAGGAGGGCAAATGTGTTGATTTACACAGTTGGCTTATATGTTTACTGTAAGGTTTTACAGGTGAGATAAACACGACACCAGGCGAGGTAGGCACAAGGCAAGATTTATTAAAGGTGCCCTCCGGTGGGGTTCCCCGACTCTGAAGAGGAGAGTTGGGGAAGTCGCACCGGGAGGGTGTCGAGTGGGTCTTTTATCTGGGTTAAGACAGGGAATAGGTTCTCACAGCCATATAAGGTATGGTATTCGGGGATTGGAGGGTTGGGGGAGTCCTGATGTTCCGGTTTCTTGTGTAGGTATTGGGTTACTTGTGGAGACGTGACCTGGACATACATCCTTATGGCGGGAGAGTAAAGGGTTAGGAAAGTGGGGGAGGGGGCCTGGAAGATGGCGGCCCTGGGGTCATTTCTATTGTTTCTCCTGCATTCCTGGAGCCACCGACCCAACATTTGCAACCAGTGTAAAATGTGTGGGTTGGGGATGGAGAAGAAAAGGCAGAGCACCCAATGTTATGGGTAGAAATAATTTCCCTCTCTCTCACCTGGTCTTCTGGGTCCCATTTTTAGAAGCCAGTGACATAACAATCGCCTGTATTTCTTAGAGATACAAAAGTCACACTGCACTCCCTCAGACCCAGTGACCTTCATGCAATGCCTGCCATTGGCTGATCTACTGGTACCGGGCACATTACTCAGTAATTTCTAAGATGTGTTATTTCATTGAAACTCCTAAAAACCCCACAAGGCAGCACTGAGAGAGTATGAACTTGATATATGGGAATCTGATGTTTGTCTGCTACTATACCATGCGATTCTCATTAGCAGTATAAACCTAGCACCCATGGAAATTCAAAGAGGAGGTGGACTTGTTTCTTTTCCAACATGCCCTTCACTTGGGAGACCAGTACCCAAATACATGTTAACAGTGGGCACTCAATAGGGGTACTTATGGCTCTATCTGGTCTTCCAAAGATTCCCAGGGCATTTCCCCCATTTGGTGACAACTGCAAATCTGAGGACTGCTAAAGACTAGATTAGGGGGCAGAGCTGGCAATGGAAAGCACACACTAAATGGGAATTGGCACAGGAGAAGGTTCCTGATTCCCTGGCACATGATGCAATTCTGAAGTGAAATCATCAGCTCAGTGTTGACCTACAAAGGTTCAAGGTGCTGCAGCCTGCTGTCCACTATGGACAGTTTTGACTCTTGCTTCATGTAGAGTCCGCATTCGTGGTATGGGGGAGAAACACAGGGAAACAGTGACATATATCACAAAAGAATGAGAAAAAAGATCCCTATTTGTCACACTAAATAGAATACGTGAGTGGTCATTGATCCTGTCGCCAGTAGCAAAGCTACACATCCTGTGGATAATTCTCATTTAAAAAAAAGCAGTCACAAAGAGCGCCACATCTCTCCAATGGAAAAGAAGTGATCCGTGTGAATGGGGAATAAGTGAGAGTACTATGCTTCTAAACCCGGAGAGAAAAATTACAGATTACACCAAATTTAAAAGTAGAATAGTTCAGAAAGTAGAAAGTAGGGCGCCTAGGTGGCTCAGTGTGTTAAGCCTCTGCCTTCAGCTCCGGTCATGATCTCAGTCAGGGTCCTGGGATCGGGCACTGCATTGGGCTCTCTGCTCAGCAGGAAGCCTGCTTCCCCCTCTCTCTCTGCCTGCCTCTCTGCCTACTTGTGATCTCTCTCTCTCTCTCTCTGTCAAATAAATAAATAAAATCTTTAAAAAAAAAAAAAGGAAAAGAAAAGAAAGTAGAAAGTATCTTTCTTCCTCTTGCAGCCTTCTCCCTACTCATTCTGTTTCTTTATTCAGAACGCATATTTTACTTGGCTGTTTCCTGTTCCTCATCTTCAAATACACACCGACTTTCCAATTTGGGGGTTGATACTCAGTCACAAAAATTTTCTGAAAGCAGCATCAAAGCTAAGACCTAAAAGATGATATGCAGTGTAAAAGTATGATTATGCAAAAGACATCTAAAAGAAATGCAAAAGATGGAAGAAAAAAAATAATAATACTTTGCTGTTATTACTGTTGCACTTAATTGGATTAGGTTTCATTTGACCTGATTCACCATCTTTACAAACATGGCCTTGAAAGAGCAGAGAGCAAATGAGAAAATGAAATTCTTAGGCTATTAGAAATAGAAACCTATAAAGACTCTTGGAAACATCCTAGAGCATGAGACAACATGCAAGTAAACCCAACTTTTCTAAAATGTTTCAAATAATAATTGTAAGGTGTTGTCATTAAGAAAAAACTCCAGGGGCACATGGGTTGCTCAGTCGGTTAAGCCTCTGGCTCTTGGTTTCAGCTTGGTCATGATCTCAGGGTTGTGAGATTGAGCCCCACATGGGGCTCCACACTCAGCACGGAGTCTGCTTGGGAGTCTCACTCCCTCTCCCTCTACCCTTCTTCCTGTTCACGCACACACACACTCTCTGTCTTTCTCTCTCTCAAAATAAATAAATCTTTAAAAAAAACAAAAAGAAAAATGTCCATGTTTCTTCTGTATATCTGAGATGAAAGTTTTAGTATTTCAAATGTAACAGGATATAGATATGAATACATGCAGCCTCATACACACAAATTTACATGCTTTCAAGTATTTCTTGAATACGGAAGTATAGATTTAAAATCTCATATACAGTATAAAAATGATGATGCAAAACATATCTCAAATGCAAATAATATAAAAATGCACATCCAGGGGCACCTGGGTGGCTCAGTGGGTTAAGCCTCTGCCTTAAGCCTCGGGTCATGATCTCAGGGTCCTGGGATCGAGCCCCATGTTGGGCTCTCTGCTCAACAGGAAGCCAGCTTCCCCCTCTCTCTCTGCCTGCCTCTCTGCCTGCCTGTGTTCTCTCTCTCTCTCTCTCTCTCTGTCAAATAAATAAATAAAATCCTTTTTTAAAAAATGCACATTTGTAAAGAGTCTTTCACTTTCTCATTTGAGACATGGTGGATACCCAGCATTTCTAATCGGTAGACTTAAAGCAACTGAGAACAAGGAGGTGAGCATTTCTCAGGGGTTTTATTTCAACTGCTTCGATGTTTTCTTTCCTTGATGATACCTAGCATCCTGAAAAACTACCCCAAACAAACCACAGCACATTGAATAAAAGTCACAGCATTCATCACTCTCTAATCCTGACTTCACTATTTCCTTGTTAATATCAAACTACCAGAGCCACTTTCTTTATGAAAAGTCTGGAAAATTGACTGGTGGCTGGGTGGCTCAGTTATTAAGCATCTGCCTTCAGCTCAGGTCATGATCCCAGGGTCCTGGGATCAAGTCCCACATCCAGCTCCCTGCTCAGCAGGGGGCCTGCTTCTTCCTCTCCCACTCTCCCTGCTTGTGTTCCCTCTCTTGTTGTGTCTCTCTCTGTCAAATAAATAAATAAAATCTTAAAAAAAAATAAAATCTGGAAAATAGAAAGCTGCCCACCTGAATTTCAAATCCAAATGTTCCATTATCTTGTTTTTCCACAGTAATGAGCTTTCTGTAATAATAAAGTAGAAATACACATGAATATCAAAGTTTCACACTTGGCACATTCTTACCATGAAGTAACTGTCACAGTTACAGATGGCTGACATTCAGGTAAACTGTAGTATGTAAGACTATGTGTGTGTGCGTGCGTGTGTGTGTGTGTTTCTGTGTGTGTTAGTGCATGCTGGTGGGAGACCAAAAAATACATGAATCTCTTTACCTTTGAGACCAGGAAAAGTCACCTAAAGAACTTGATCTCGTCAAAGCAAGCTGAAAAATATAACAAGCACACCGTTATCAAAAGGTCCTAAGACACATCTATAAAATGTTCGAAATCACAAAGGAATTTGTTCTTTATCACCTTCCTTGGCCCAGATTTGGGAAATGGTTATGTAAGGGTAGTAATTTCCATTCTCTACTGGGAGAAAAGGAGAGCCGAGAAAGGGAACATTCGAGCATTAAAAGGCTAAAAGAGGCTCAGATAATAATATACTGCGGCAAAAGAGTTCATGTAATGTGGCAAAACTCTAAAGCTTCCAAAAGAATGTCATATCTAATCTGTATTTAAAATAGCCCCTGAAAAATGAACCAGTGCAACCAGTGCAATTTATAATCACACAGAAATCCAAAGAAAACAACACCCATAGAATGGCATATAAAACCCAAATACTTGATACTTTTTTGATACTGATGAAATGACTGTATTTATTGTAAATATTCAATATGTTACTGTTTTTAGAAGGCTATAATAATCTGTAAAGAACCAATACATATACAGAAATACAATTCAGGTGAAACCAGGGACTCAAAATCTCAATTCTGTTTTATGACTTACTTTTGCAATAGTTTTGGAAAAGTCAATGAGATTTCCAGCCTAGAAAGGAAGGGAGCCTCAGAATGCTATAAACAGTATGAATACTGGCCCCTTCATCCCCAATGCATGCTATGGAAAAAAATTATATACACATAAACTTCCAGGATATATTCTACCCTTGTAAATAGGAAAAATAAGCAAAAGGAAGCATCTTATTTCTCAGGTGATTGCTGTGAGTCTGTGTGTGTTTTTATTTTATTCCTTTAGGAATTAACACAAATTAATTAGCCATTTCTCAAGTCTTGGTCCAGGGGCCCAAAAATCAGCTTATGGTACTAGCTAACCCATAGTGTTTCACTGTCACTGTGATATGCTTGTTGTCTATCAATGGATACATTACAAAATGTCAGAAGAGCAACACATTGTCCAAACAACTACAAATAAGACCAAAAGGGGATGAAAAATCAGGGAAAAAAACACATAAAAAAATTAATACACAAAAAAAATCCTTATTAAGGCATTTGTTTGGAGAGAAGCCTCTATCACTGCTAATGAGTTTGAATTACCAAGTACCAAATGCCAGCATTCTCACAAACTTTCTGAAATGGCTCAGTGTTCAGAATTTGCTTATTGATCAATAAAGCTACTGTAAAGAAGAGCTGATCTTTCCTTGTTGATTTGGTTTAAATTAATTACATTTGTAATTCCTTGTCTTTTCAGTTCTAGGCCTCAAACTGTGTATATCATTCTGAAGACGGCACTAGGTTAGCCCAGATCCAAGAAAATTCTCTAAATTTGGTAAAAAGTATTTGTTTTCAATTTGTAAGGACTCAGTGTACGAGGCCTCCAACAATTTATATGATTTATTTCAGCCTGTTTGCCCTACCTAACACACACATGGGCAGGAAACACTCTGCTATGCAATGGGGTGCCTTCTTATGGAGGAGATGATCTTGACATTGGCCATCATTCTCATCTCTCCAGAACACTGCACTCACATTGTCTTAATCTATTTTCATTATTTCTATCTGCCTGGCTTTTACCTTCATTTCCAATTTTAAGATACTTAGGTAGGTCATACCTACTTACATTATCTGTTATCATAACTAGGGTTTCTATTCTAAAAATACTACTTTTGCTATCAATAGTCATATTATTCAGATATTCATATATAGAGAGACAAGTATGTGTGTTTATATAAGGGGTAAGGTGGATCAAATACCTCCCTTCTATACATAATTACCGATATCCTTTGGGTCTCTTGGGAAATGTACTTATTTTACTTTCTACCCCAGTGCCTAGTGCAGGGCCTGGAATAGAGTGGAAACTTAAAAATAGCTAAATAGACAAACAGAAGTAAAACTACTAGACACCAATATAAGTAAATAAGTAGTGGTGAAAGATCAAATTCTCAAATTCAGGAGGAATTTGTGTGTGTGTGTGTGTGTGTGTGTGTGTGTGTGTGTGTGAATGAGAAGCAGAACATTTCATTTTAAGTAGTGGATGGAGCTACACAGTCTAATGCTTTTTTCCAGGGCGACTGAGAGGGTTTAATGAAACAGTTTTGCAAATGAGAATGAGCCTTTCTCATGTCAGATGAGTATTGCCATTTGGAAGGCGGAAGGTAGTTCTGGGTACCCTTTTTTGCCTTCTTATAAAGGGAAATTTTTTTTTTAAAGATATCCACTGAGTTAAAATACTTTTCAATTTTGTCCTTCAGCAGATTTTAAATATTCACAGGAAAATCTCAAGGGCAATCATTAAAAATATAAAATTAAATTTAAAAAATTCCAAAACATGTGGCAACTTTAAAAATGAAAATCAAACAAACAAAAAAAGAACAAAAAAAGAAAAATCTCAATCCAAAAACAACAAGAACCATAGAGAAAGGACTAATAGAAAGCAAAGGAAGATAGTAATGCCCTAATATATAACTGCCAAACGAATAAATGATAGCAAGAATTAATGAGTTATTAAAATTTCCACTCTTTCCTCAGCAATTTTAAATGCCCTTTTGCCAGACAAATAATCATAGCATTGATGGGAACCTCAAGATTCCATCTGGTCCACCTGCAAACTTGCCTTCTAAATAAAAAAACCACTCTATTTAAATTCAAATCTAAAATCTGTAAGTCCAGAAGACAAATCCAAGACCTCCACACAGAAGGAAACTGCCCCACCTTTCTCTTCCTAACCTTTCTATCTAATTGTCTGACTGAAAATATTTGCCTAGCACAATGTGAGACACATGGCAGAGACTTGGTTCCTGTGGACTGACTGATTTGGGTTATCAGTGACACACAAAAAAATCAGACTAAGTCAAATTATAAATTAGTTTCTACTCTGGATAAGCGATGAACCTCTTTTAGGCACCCAATATTTAAATAAAAAAGAATTTAAATAAATTAGGAACCATCAAATTCTCTGACACGTGCCACATCTTGACACAAAGCCTCCTTGTCTTTGATCTGGGCTGTCAGACTCAGGCGATGTGGAAAGGAATGTTCTCAGGGTTCAACCTTGCTCACACACCAGACTACCTGCTAAAGTGGGAAGACGTGTGCCTGCGGCCTTATGCAAGGTCTCAGCTTTGGAAGATGATTTCCTGCAGCCCTTCTCCTAGAGTGTGTGGTCCGGCTCTGGGTTATAACCAGTGAAGGCCGTGCTCCCGAATGCCCTCACAGCCAGAGCCTTTTCTCAGGGTTGCGGCGATGACACCGAGACACACGAATGAGAAACCGGTGTGTGATGAACAGCATATGCTGGCAACAGCTGTCTTTTATTACACATTATCTAATATGGGAAATCTAGGTTGGGCAATCTGGCAGGCCTGCAAATTACACATTCAATTACCGCTGTTGGTTAGACAAAGCTTCTTAACCCCTCGCTGCCACTGATAGAAAGATGCCTGGGGGGTGAGCTTATGATTCCTCTTCTTTTGTTTTTAGGTAGATGACTTAAAAGTTCAGGCATTAATATTCAAAATGTAATTTTTGCTACTGTGCAGTGATTCACAGTGCTCCTCTTCAGTAGGATGCCAAGACCAGATATTTTAGCTGTCAGTTTGCAAAAGATAGGGGTTAGGGTTAGCCAAAGAGCCGCAGGCTGGGAGGAGCTCCAAGTTCAATCCTGTAGCCACTTCTGCTGCTAAGTAACAGATTGTTACTTCCTGGTCCCCACTCAGTGTGCTCATTTCCTGAAAGTCCTGGGGTGGGGAGAGGTTTCTTATCAACAGAGAAGCTGTTTCTTTTGTTTCCACTGTTTCAAAAGCCTACAAGTTAGGTGCCCTGCTCACTTTCTAGTCCCTGCCTCCTTCTCACTGATGTCTTTCCATGAATATAGCTTTTTTCCCTGTTCCCCGTTTAAGCCAGGAGCCTTGAGAGAGCAGGGTGCTGCAGACTATGCTAAGATACTTGCTTAATGGAGTGGACTTCAGTTTCCTAATTCGTAAGTGCTCTTAAGGAACCCAAAGATATGTCGCAGCTTCCCACAAAAGTCTCATTGTAGACTCATGAGCGTCTTTTCTAAGAAAAACTATGGGCTCTTGATTCCAGGTGTGTCACAATATTAGATTAGAGGACACTTTTCAAATTCTTTTGGAGTGAAATTCCTATAGTTTTCTACCTGAAGTATTCATTGGATGCTTAAAATACTTTGTTGCAGTTAGGAACACTTGGGAGCTTTGGCTCCAGATGGGGCTGGAGCCAGAAATGAGGAGAAAGCTCCTGGAGGGCGGAGTCCACCCCAGAAATACACTTAACAAAAATTCTGTATCTGAGCTTTTACGTGAAATCACCCTTCAGAAGCTGCGTTTGAGCAATAATTCAATAACCCCAAGACTGGAAGGCAAAGGCAGCCTGTGGTACTACTGAGGCACATTCCAGCTTCTGGACTGGTCCTCAGGCCCCTGGCTCTCGTGACAGCCTTTGGTGAACACTGCCTTCCTTATGCAACCTACTACCCTCAGACAAGTGTCCCATCAGGCACAATCACTATACCTTTGGCATCACCACATTTATAAAGCCTCTCCTTATTTCCTCTGGTCTCCTTCCCACTGTGTCTTCCATTGCAGGGATTTTTTTTTTTTTTTTTCCCCTGAAACCATGTTCAGAAGTAGAAGCTGCACTGCGATGTCTATCACCTCCTACAAATACAGGTATGGAGATAATATGCACACACAGAAGTCTATTTTTAAGCAATTTTGAGTGTAAACACCCAAATGCTTCTGAAGATTCATCTGAAACTAGAGGCTCACCAGATAAAGCTTTGCAGAAACCAAAGCCAACAATAACGAGAAGTATGAATTGTTGACGTCAGCCTGAAAGTGTCGAAAATAACAGTGGGCAGAGAAACACCTGCTCCTGGGATTGCCTCACAGGGATCTTGTTGCCTGCAATTTAGTCGGTGCCAAATGGGTGATTATTGTCTAAAAACCACTTAAAAGAAATGATCATCC